CAGAAGAAGCACCAACCTCCTCAGAACATCACAAGACAAAACAGGTACAAATGTGCATGTAATTGAAGCTTGCCTGATATTGACCTGCTACATGTACACTCCATGTTGTCAGAACTATCAGCTACATAATGACTGTTTAGTATTGTGTTGTTTTTCTCAGAAATTGTTCTCAGTTTTTGTGTGTATTCCTGATTTTACAGAGGCAGAAGCAAAAGGAGAGGCTCAACAATGTTCTTCTAAAGCTACTGGCTAAACTTCCTGGGAAACACAAACGTATGTCCAGTTGAACTGCCTTAGGGATCACTAGTATTGGTCTATTTCTAGTACTGAAGCCAGGGACGCAGATAGAAATAGAAAAATTGTTGAGTAGACCTTATATAATGTTTTACAGACCATTTTGAAGAGAAAACTAAAGCTGTAAAGTTTAATGTGACAAGATAGCATGGCAGTAGAAACTACCCAAATTTTGTGAAGCTGGTCTTTCACATGATATGAAGATAAGATAGTGAATTATCTTCACTAAAAAATCTTCAGTTTAGAAAGTTAAACATTTGTACAGGCATGAAAATGCAGCACTTGCAATATACGTACCTTTTTGTGTAAAAAAACCAAGCTGACCATATCTCAGTTTTTGAGTAGATAAACAAATTCAAGTAAAACAGTTGAAACAGAATTCTCTTATTTGACAAGAGTATGACATGAATTGCCGAACAGATTCCGTAGAGATTTTAACTGACATGTCTTGTGTTCCACTGCAGCTGTAGACGTCAGCTACCTGTTGGAGGAGGGGGCAGGAAAACGACAGCGCAAAAAAACAACGCTCGTCGACTGCTGGTGATCACTCTCGCACCACTCGTGACCATCATCATAGCAATTGGCTGTTGCCATGACAACCCAGTTGCGTGGCAACACCAAAACAAAGGCAGCTGTAAAGTTTCTGGAAGCATAGTTGTATCCTGTTCCATGTCCGTAGCATCGAGTGCCATGGTAGCTGTAGACAAGGGCAGAGAAAGGGCAGAGAGGCCACGGACGTGAACTAACCTGGGACCAAGATTTACCGCGCACAGGACCCTGGGAGCTTTGAATGTTATGTTTTTTTTGTATCATTATTACAGTTGATGTCCCTACAGCTTGTCTGATAAGACATGTTGGACCACATTTGAAAAGAAAAATGTCAGTGAAGTATTTCAAGAAGCAGCATTCTGATGGCATCACCTTATGGCAGACTATAATCTAGCAAGTTACCTCACATGTGATTTTAACTGACATGCTTGCCTCTTATTCTCTTTCCTGTAGCAAATGTCATCTGGGCTTGAACAGTACGATTTTAAACTAACATAGAATTATAAACATAAAC